TCTCTGGATGCTCTTTGTCACAGCACTCAGTGCCCACAGTCACCAGGAGGGAACACAGATTGGAGCTGTCACTTTCTTCAGAGTTTTCTGTATTAATTTGTCTTTTTTTTTTTAAATCCTTGTGGCACAGCCACATATCTGCTTCCCCCATGCTGGTCTGGCTGGCTCAGGAAGACATTAGTCTTTGTTAATTGTCTCAGGGCACCTGATGATTTGCTGGTGCAGCTCTCTTATCTAACCCCAAAGTTACCCTCCACTCTCCCTGCTGCTGAGATAAATTCAGCTTTCCTTAGAGCACATTGTTCCCCAGGCTCACTGTTTTATTCCCCACTGCTGTGGGGCTGTACTGGTTGGGCACACTGCCCTGGTTGGGTTTACCCAAGAGGAAAGTCCAGGCAGTGGTGTCCCCAAGGAAAGTTCATTAGTGTTCAGGGTGTGCTTTGGAGGCAAACGAGGCCCACAGAGCAGGGCTGGACTAACAGCATCTCTTGGCAGACTGTGCAGGCAGAGGTGCTCGAGGAGGACAGTTTGCTGTGCAGAAGGAACCTGCTGCTGAAGGAGTTTAAATAAGAGGAGCTCAAAATCTTGAGCTGCTGCATGTCCCTGAGTGACCAGGGCTCAGTCTGCTTGTGGTTCTGGTAGTAATGACAGAAGAACGTGATGCCTGGGTCACAGGGTGGTATGGACTAACCCCAGTGAAATGTTAATTCTGGTGTGAAATGACAGAATCTAGTTTAAGAGCCTGTTTCAGGTGTATTTTTATGATGACATTATTTTCATACCAAGTTAGTCTCACTCACTCCAAACAACTGCTTCTGCCAGCGTGGGGACCACGGCAGAGTTTGTCAGTTTGGGGTACAGTGGTGCTCAGTCACAGCCAACAGGAGCCTGTCCTGCATTTTGAGTAACTCTTAAAATTGTTTCTGGGCCAAGTGGCAGAGGTGTCATTAATTTTTGTGTTTTCTCTGCAGATTGGCCCAGGCTGCCCAGGGAGGTGCTGGAGTCCCCAGCCCTGGAGGGGTTCCAAAAGTGTGGACTTGGCATTTCAGGACATTGTTTAGTGGCCATGGGAGTGTTGGGTTGATGGTTGGACTTGATGGTCTTAGAGGTCTTTTCCAACCTTAGTGCTTCTGTGATTCTAAGATTAGATAACACATATTATTGCAAGTTATATATGTATAGAATTGTAGCTGGCATTTGCTTAGCTTCAGTCTTGGATTACTTTCCTTTTATTCTGCCAGGAAATTCACTGACATTTGTTGATAAACAAATGATAATAATATGATAGATTTTTTTTATTTGGGATTTTCATGAGCTCATCTGGATGGAAGTTGAAGTTCAAATAAAAATTCATAAGTCTTGTGAGGGCCCATGGCTGAAATCCAGCCCTTTTTCACAGCATGCACAAGGCAGAAACGTTGTTAAAATGTGTCTAAAAGTGCTCAACAAGGGAAATTTTAACTTGCTGAACGACTGGGCTGGGCTTTTGTATCTATGGAAGTGCTCAAGGGATCTTCAAATGCATTTAAGCAGTTGCCTGCCAAATTCTAGTAGGCATCAGGCTTTATCTTGCATTTGAACACCCTTAAAATTATACTTTAAGTTGGCTTATTTTGTAATCTACTTGTTATTTTCATGCAACTTCCATTACTGATGAATATTTGTGGGTTTTTTTTTCATCTGCAGTGAGCTAATACACCTAAGGCCAAAATGTCCTGCTAGATTTGTCTCACTAGAGCAAGGCAGGAGACCAGTAAATGCTCAAAACCTTTATACTTCCCTGTAGTTTTGTCAAATTCGTGTGTGTTAATATCTGCATTTTTTAGGTAGAAAAAGGAGTTAAACACCCAGTTTCTAGTTCTGCTCACTGTGAACTTTGGTGTTGTGGAAAGGGGTGTCCTCAGAGCTTTTTCAGATGTTTTAACTGTGCAATCCCTTCATAAGCATAAAGTGTTGCCTCATTTTATAGCCACCCAAAGGGGGTGTTGCCCATTTTGACAGAAGGGTGAGGTCACTGTGCCCGTTGGGTGGGGAGCCCATGGGTGATGTCACCCACGCTGCCTCCCTGAACGACAGGCTGGCACCTGAGAAGATGTGAAAGGAAAGGAGAGAACTTCACTCCTGCTGTGGGGCTTTTATTATTTCTTTATGCTTCCAAACAAATCTTTTGACCTGTAAAGCTAAGCTGGCTCTCAGAGTGATGCTCTCATCACTGTAGTAGGTGAGGCTGTTCTAAATGACAAGGTGAGGAGTCCTAAATGCTCCTCAGAAAGTGCAGGAGCATGCAGTGGGGTGATGTAATGCAGGGTGGGTGGAGCTGGGCCTTGGGAACAGAAGGGCTGCCTGACTTTGAGGGGAGGGGAATTACCCCTTCACCAAAACAGTGGGGGATTAGGTTTTAGAGGCTGGCTTCAGCAGCAGGATAATGCCTAACCGGCCTAGCTCGTTGAGAATGTAATGCTAAATAAACAGGAGCTAATCCTCCCAGGAATGTGGCCTGTGCTGGCTCTGCCTCCTGCAGCAGCTGCTGGCCAAGTCTGCTCCTAGGACCCCCAGCAAAAAAATGGGGGGTTATTTCACCTACCCCTGCTTGATTCGTGCTGAGAGCGTTGCCTGAGAAGGGGCATTGCCTTCCAGGAGCATCAAAACTTCTCACAGAAAATAAAATATATGGCAAAAAGCACTTCTGTTAGAGACCTGAGTGCTGCTTCCTGCCCAGTACTGAAGAGGTGCTTTGGCTGGTGTGAAACTAGCACCTGGGCTGGCTGTGAAAGCTGGAGGCTGCCTGGGAAATAAGCAGGGGTGAATTTTCTTAGGGGTACAGTGGAAGGGACCCTGTTCCCTGTGAAAGGGAAGCAGGGTCCTGCAGTTGCCCTGTCCCTGCCTGCCTTGTGTGCTCTCAGGGGCTTTGTCCTGCCCAGAGCTGCCCGTTCTTCACCCACACGCCTGTGCCACAACTGCTGTTGCAACCACTTCAGTTACTGCTTGCTGCTTTCTCCAAAACCTTGTTAAGAAGGGCTGAAGACTTTGGAGTGAGTGTCCTGGATGTGACAAGCAGGATTGTGTTAGAAAAGGGTGTCCTGGGAATTCTGTGCTTTGAATGGGATCTGCTGGGCTGGATCTCCAGCCCTTGTGGGACTGAGGGGCTGGAACAAGCTCTCATTTCACC